GTAGTTATCCAAGTCTATGCTATCTTCCCCATACAACTTTTAAAAGAAATCTGATCCTTAAAACTTTACACCTTTCCTTTTACGCAGTTTTTATAGCTACATAGTGGACTACATTTTATAGAGGAGAATTTTAATTGTACTCTTAACTGGAAGGTGGTTAAGAGTGCTGTTTCAGAATGCTTTTAAGTTCCTGTGTCCTTGTTTACCCATAGACTATTGTAAGTGTGTGTTGCTAAAATAATTTTTGCTGCTGATGATTTCAGCTTTTTTGTTTTTTTAAAAAAAGTGGTTTTATATCCAAAACCTGATTTATTTTGTGATTGATTTATTTTTTTTAAATGATACCTCTCTTTGTCTCGTCGTCCTTTACTAGGATGCAAGTTGCTCAGCATTTTAATACTGTTGAAACTGAACTCAGTGCAGCCGTTCCCAAGGACTGCTGGTCCTTGTCCTGAGCCAGAATGGCCTCATCCTGACGTGGTCTGGCACCTTCTCATATGTCGCTGGGCGTGCTGAACTCCCCTTTTGCACTGCTCAGCACTTTGTCAGGTCAGGGAGATTCTTCTTCCAGCTATTTCATTACCTATAATCTATTGTAGATCCACTCTGTTAGTTAATTTCAAACATCAGGAACGCTGCCAGTCTCTGTCTTTTCAATTTGAAATTTGGATGTACAGAAACACTACAATATGCTTTATATCAACACAAGAGTTTTGAAAAATATTCCACTTCAGCAAAGTCGATTGAATTGGTTCAGCCATCTCAGAAACAGATGCCTGTGGGAAAAGTCACAGACCCGCTTCAATAAAATTTAGACTTCCCTGTGAAGTCTAAATTTTATTTTTTCCAAAGATTTGGATAAAAGCTATTTCATCTTTTAAATGGTGCTTGAGTTAAAATTATTAAAAACAAAAGAAGAGCAGGTTTCACTTCAATTTGTAGAGTAGAGTTAATGGTTGAACTCTGATCCCAAGGGTTTTTTCCAAGCTGAATGATTCTATGATTCTATTCTATGTATTTCCAATTCCATTACATTTTTAAAATAAAAATTGCAGCTTAGAAAGAAAAGATTTTGCCTGTGAAAGAACAAAAAAAGAAGGAAGCCAGCTTTAAAAATAAATGTATTATGCTGTGTTCTAAAACAGCACCTAAGCTACTCTAAACTGGGAGTTCTGATGCCCTGCTTTGTGGGTTTGGAATAGGAAAAACATCCTAGATTTTGCAAAGTATGCTGTCTTATTAGGGGCAAAAAGCGTACCACGTTGTTGTTTATTTGTATACTGGAAAATGCTACTTCAGAGTGTATTGGCAGCTGAATAAGTAAGATGTCAATGTCTGAAAGTTATGCTCTAAATCACGAGATGTATCTTGGAGTCCACAGAATTGGAACATGCCAACAGAAAAGTCAGAAGTAAGATACTCAGGGTTATATTTAGAGGACCTTAATTCCCACCTGCCTCCCTCTGCTTTGTGGAAAGAACTGGACTCTCCCAATGGCTAATTCAGAGTCCCTAAGAAAAATTAAAACAGCTAAAAAAATAGCAGACATAGGGAACAGATTGAAATTTAGACTCTGTGATTATGACTTCTAATCTGGAAGAACTCATGCGTTTTTAAATTCGTGCATCTTAAACCTGTACGTTTTTATCGTTTGGAAGTGTTCCGAATTGTTTTACTAATGATAATCCTTTTGAAACCGTAGAGCTTTAGGTTCAGACACGGGAGGATCTACCCGAAACCCTGCTGCTCACTGCGGTGTAGTAGGTTTAAAGCCAACATACGGACTGATCTCTCGCCATGGTCTCATTCCTCTAGTGAACTCCATGGATGTGCCAGGAATCCTAACCAGATGCGTGGACGATGCAGCAGTTGTGTTAGGTATTTCTACGTCGTATGTCTTTGTATACAACATACTTCTGTTTACAGCGTTGTCTCAAAACAAGTTGAATTCTGTCTACCCAATGCACATTTTCCTCTTCTTGATATGATCATGTCGTATTTCAGGTTCTCTTGCTGGACACGATCCTAAAGACTCTACCACAATTCAGGACAACTTTGAGCCGTTTGAACTGCCTAATTTGACTGATGTCAGCAAGCTCTCCATAGGAATTCCAAAGGTAGTATTTAAATTCTGTCAGTAATTGTAACCAAGAGCATTAAACAGGAAACCTCACAAATAAAAAAAAAATTCCTTGCCCACCACCTCCCAGTGTCTCATGGTGTAAAACAGGGAGGGCAGTATGAGCTGTGTTTGCCTGTGCAGGTGATTCAGAGCGAGCATGTGCTAATGCTTCATGCGAAATACTTTGTCGTGGTTGTGGGAAGTGCTCTTGGTAAGTTCCAAGGGAAATGGGGAACTTCAGTTCTTGTCTCTCTCTCTTGCTCTTTCATCAGTCACCTTGAACAAGTTGCTCTTGGTGCCTTCTCATACAACGAGGCTACTGCTGGTTTGTGCGGTGCTTTGAGGTACTTCTCTAAATGGCACTGTGGTAGTACAAAGCAGAATTTTAAAGGCAGTTGAGTGGCACAAGGAGCTGTGATTTGCAGAACTCTAATAGGACTTGAAAGACAACTGTCACCTGGGTTCTGATGCATCCTGTTTGTAACTCTAAGGGTAGTTGTGGGCACAACATTTGGACTTGAGCTTGTTTCTAATAATTTTTAATAGTTTAGTAAAGGCTCTGCCTTTGAAGAGACAATGTGAATAACATATATTAGTTTGATTCAAAGTATTTGAACCTGAGCTAGAACGAATATACCAAAAGTTTTAATTTAGTTAACAGAGATATCCACTGACCAATTAATTTAATTATTCGGGATCTTTGAAATGCAAAAAAGTATATGCCTAGAAGGTTAATTAGCTGCATACTGTTTAGATTCTGATAGATCTGAAATAATGGTATTGGTTAATTATTCATATCCTTTGGACAGTTGTTTTCTGCTGCTCAGATTATCCTAAATAGATACATGCATATATTAAAGATGCGTCATAGCTACTCAGAAATCAGACAGTATTACGACTCTGATGTTGTGGGTTAGAACTAAAGCAAGTATGTTCAAAAGTAGAGACTTTTAATAGAATAACTTAGCTCTTGAACAGGAAAGTAGCTTTTCTAAGTCTTCTCCCAACCCCTTGGTTGTTGGTCTTTTTCAGTTGTTACATTTATGTCATGCCAGTTGCCACTTACATGCTGTGGCTTTAATTTCTTTTTATCTTTCCTACTCAGAGTAGCCCTAGTGTTACAATTTAACCTGAGGAGTTTCTACCCGTGAACTGCAGAGCAGTGCAGTATAGTCTCCATGAACAGGCAAATAAGTGGGTAACTGGGCAATTTCTCCTTCCGAAGAAACTGCTGAAATTCTGTGGTATGTGGGTTGATCCTGACATATGCTGACATAATAGTCTTAAGACTGAATTCTGTTAATTTAATAGTGCTTGATTGTATAATGCTTAGTAGATGCGAGAAGCATTAATAAGCACTTTACATCGTATAGTGGTGAGGTAATAGTTTCAATGTATTTTTAGCAAGGAGTGTTTTGGTTGCCATCAGAAGTAAAGCAGTATGTAAGATCACTCCCTCTCTTGTTTTTCTCCAAGGAATATCATGCACCAGGGCTTTCTAGTGAAATTCTGGCTCTCTGGTCAAAGGCTGCTGACCTCTTTAAGGATGCAGGTGCCAAAGTAATTGAAGTGAGTCTACCGCACACTCGTTACTCGATTGTCTGCTACCATGTGCTGTGCACTGCAGAAGTGGCATCAAATATGGCCAGGTTTGATGGACTGGAATATGGTAAGGCCTTTGAAAAAACTTTTCTCAGTCAATAGAAATATTGCTGGATGCCATAAAAAATTATTATTTTTACTAGGTATGCTTTTCAAGGTTGAATGTTTGGTGCTGTATCTCTGAGGTGGAATAGAGAAAAATGAATAAATATATACACATTTTACTATATTCTAGACTTCTAAGTGTCTAGGCTTAAAATCTGTTTAGTATTTCTGTAATAAAACAGCAATATAATGTGTTGGTTTTTTCAGAGTAGTAGCACGTCGGACTGCAGCAAACAGTGGCCTGTTCTATTGCATTATATATAACATTACCTTACATTATTAAATCTTAAGAATTACAAGAAGTGTTAATTACCAAATGACTTTTTCTTTTTAGGACACCGTTCTGACATGAACAAGTCCACAGAAAGTATGTATGCTGCAACACGACGAGAAGGTTTTAATGATGTTGTGAGAGGAAGAATTCTTTCAGGAAACTACTTCTTGTTGAAACAGTAAGTGAAACATCTTGAAAGTCAAATTTGCCAAGTTAATCAGCATTTGCTTAAAAAATTGTTAATTGTTCATCATGACATGAAAAAAAATTCATCCTTATCCTCGTAGCTATTTGTATTATTATTAGTATTACTTCAACTATGTAATACTTAGTGAACTGTTAATAATGAAAATGTTTCTCCTTAGTTTACCAGTGACCCCTCTGAATTAAATAAGTAAAACAAGTTAGTGGGGTTTTTTTTCCTTTTTTGTTTTCCCTACCAAAGTATTATTGGCACCCATTAGTTAAATTAAACAAAAAAAATCTATCCTATGGTATCACATTGAAATCATACTGAAGCCGTTGCTGTTGTAGTGTTAAAAGTTCTGTACCTGTTAATCTCAAAAACTGCATAGAAAAACTGCTAGTACATTCCAGTGAGATCTTCTAGAGAAAGTCAGAAGATACGACAAATTAACTGTATAGCTCTTCACCTCGGTATACAGGGAAAAGGAAGGCATTGGCAAAGGTACCAAACTGATGTCCTTACAGAAGATGGGTGTGGGGGTTTTTTTGGTCCAGCTCATAGAGAAACTGGTGCATGGATCAATGCCTTTTCTTTTTTTTTTTTTTTTTTTTTTTTTTTGGTCATAGTTTTCATTGCTTATCCAACAGTCCTCTTTATGTTAGTAAAACTTCTGGGTTTTATCTGAATTTGTTCAGAGACTAACAGACATATTAGCCACAGACTCAGGCTCAAAGCAAGTGCACTGCGGAAGGAGCTCTCTCGGCAGCAGTATTCACCAGATGCGACTGGAGTTGCTCTCAGAGGGAGGAATGTTGTCAGTGTGTAACAACCAGCTTTTATGGAATGCTGATACTCCTGCCAAGTGGGCTCCTTCAGGTGGTAACTGTCCAGATCAGCTTTCCTAAGGCTGCTTTGAAATTCACATAGTTTACTCTTCTGTGAAGGAATATATGCAGTTGGCTTCCATCAAGATAAAACCGGAGAGTCACGTTCCTGTCTGCAGTAAATACTTTTGAAGAACAGAACCCAGAGTTCAGAAAGCATTCTTGGAATAAATAGTAGAGGAAAAAAAAAATATGCCTCCTGCAGAAATTGCATTTTACACATTATTTATATCTTGCTTTTGAAATCTGTAAAATAACTGGGTCATTATTCAGGAAGCAATGGGAGCTTGTAAACATTGCATCAGATTTAGCAGTGTTTGATTTAGCAGTACTTTTTCACTTTCTTTTTTTTTAAACCCAAAATTGTCTTTCCAGCTTAAAATATTGTTTGAGATCCTTTTTTGTTTCTTTTACTTTTTCTGAAGTTAACACGTAGAATGATTGCAGAAATTACTATAGACAAGGGACTAATTCCTGTAATATAAAGTCTTAATTTGAATACTTGAATCTGCTGACTGTTACTGACTATAACAATTTTCATTGCAGTTTTTCAGAAACATAAATCTATGGCCTTAGGGCAATTTCAGTCATTTTCTCTACAAACACTCTGGCATATACCAGTTATACCATCCCCACACAACACACTTTTTTTTTTTTTGTGTGAATAGCTGTGGTTTTAAATGGCAGTTACTTTTGAAACTGAACTTCCCTGAATTCAAGGATTCCACATTTACCAGTTCTGCTTATCAAGTTAAAAGGAACAATAAACATAAAGCTGACTAATTTATTTCTGCTTCAGAATTGTGTAGAGGCGGTTTAGAAATACATAAACCACATAGAATGTGCTGTAGATGATGGGACTTTTTCACATGCTTTAAGTATCTTGCTGCATTGAATCATAAGTGATTAATGCCTATTTTCTGGGTCTGCTTAGTTCTGTATTGTTTCTAGACTTTGCTGTGCTGCCCTGCAGTGAAATTCAATACAGGGTTTAGTTTCAGGAAGGTCATAAAAGTGTTGTTTTGATTTCTAGTTAATTATTGTAAGCTAGATTTTTGTTTTCCCTTCACTTTTGTTCAGCAGTATGCCATCATCTCTACCGTCTCTGACAGCTTCATTGCTGTGAAAACATAAACACCACGTTTGATGTCTAAGCTTCTGGTATATCACAGCTCAAGTGCCAATGTTATTCTTTTAACCAGAAGGAAAACTAGCCTTGTCTCTTTTAGAGTAACTAAGAAATTGAGTTCTGTCGTTAGTGTCAGGCCCTCATGTCCATATTTCTTTCTAGGAATTATGAGAATTACTTTGTCAAGGCACAGAAAGTCAGACGTCTCATTGCAAACGACTTTGTGAAGGTTTTCAGGAGCGGGGTTGATATTTTACTCACTCCTACCACTCTGACCGATGCAGTACCATACCTAGAATTCATCAAAGAAGACAACAGAACCCGCAGTGCGCAAGATGACGTCCTAACACAGGCTGCAAACATGGCTGGTCAGTAGGGACAGGAATTCAACTGTGTTTTCCCCTGCCTAGTAATTTTTCAATGTCCATTCCTGTCAGCTATTTAACCTCTTCTTTAGAATCAAGATAATTCGCCTCTGTGTTGTAATTTTCACAGTAATAATGGGCTTATTTATGAAATTTTTTAAAATGTAAGACTAGATTTTAAAAATGGGACACCTTTGGAGCTGGATACACGCTGCAGGTAAGATGAATCCATTCAAGTTCAAGAGACCGAAAATTCTTTATTGGGAGAGTTGATCCGCTTTTCAGAGGATGCTAACTCCTTAAATCACTCATTCATTTCTTGTGATGGCCTAGCAGTATCCTTAGTTCATTGACTGAAGTTATTTTAACTAGTCTTTTTCATATGAGTATTTTTTTTCTGATTCATTTAGAATTGTTACAAAAATTACTCCAACTGGATTTGTCTAGTAGTAAGTCTTTGCTTATGTTTTGGTTTTGTTTTGTTTTTATTTTCAGGGTTGCCGGCCATAAATGTTCCTACAGCTCTTTCGGAGAGAGGCTTGCCTGTTGGGCTTCAGTTCATTGGACGTTCATTCCAGGAGAAGCAGCTTCTCAGTGTAGCCAAATGGTTTGAAAAACAAGTAAAATTCCCAATGATCCAGCTAGAAGAAGTGAAGAGGCATGACCATGGTGTCTTTCAGCATCAGAAATCTGCCTCTTTTTCATAACGTGGGACTTGCTAGACAGCTGAAGGAAGAAAGCTGTGAGGATGGTTAAAAAAAAAATCCTGCAGTTAATTATCTTTTGCAGAAATAATCCATTTTAAGAAGACCATATGCAGTAATGCAGGATGGAATCACGACAGCTTGTTACTGTGTAATTAAGGCAAAGTGAATCATTAAGTAAACATGTCTATATTATTAAGAACTGTTTCTTAACTGATATTAAAAACACCAAGTTAAAATTAGGTATTGTACGCCTGTGGAGCTGCTTTTTTCCATCCCCAGAGGGTATGTAAGCTCTCTGGCCCATTAAAGAACTAACCTGAACTTTCCTGTGAAAATTGCATGGTTGCCAAAGGGCTTGGTTTCCTTCTGGCATGTAGACTTCTGTATGGGCAACAACCAGACAAGCTGTAGTGGAACAAAGGTACCAAAGGATCTGTTCACCAATAGGCAAATACAAAAGGGAATGAGGGAGTAACGTATAGATAGTTCATTTGACCTTGGAGTCCTAGTGGGCAGTAAGTTGTCCATGGGACAGCAATGTGTCCTTATGGCCAAGATAGGATGCTGGGGTGCATTAAGAAAAGTGTGTCCAGCAGGTCTAGGGAGATTCTTCTCCCCCTCTACTCTGCCCTGGTGAGACCACACCTGGAATACTGTGTCTGGTTTTGGGTTCCCCAATTCAAGAGAGACAGGCACCTACTGGAGAGAGTCCAATGGAGAGCTACGAGGGTGATCAAGGGACTTGAACATCTCTCCTAGGAAGAGAGACTGAGAGAACTGGAGCTGTTTAACCTTGACAGGAGACGGCTGAGAGGGGATCTTATTAACATATACAAATATCTGAGGAGTGAGTGTCAAGGGGAAGGAGACAATCTCTTCTCAGTGGTGCCCAGCAACAGAAAAACGAATAATGGGTGTAAGCTAGAACATAGGCAGTTCCACCTCTACGTGAGGAGACACTTCTTTACTGTGAGGGTGACAGAGCACTAGCACAGGCTGCCCAGAGAGGTTGTGGAGTCCCCTTTTGTGGAGACTTTCAAAACTCACCTGGATGCGTTCCTGTGTGGCTGCCCTAGGGGATCCTGCTCTGGCAGGGGGGTTGGACTAGAGGATATTTCGAAGTCCCTTCCAAACCCTAACATTCTATGATTTTAAAAAAAAAGAGAAAAAAAAAATCCCTACTTCTAGCAAACTAGTGCAGGAGGTGAAGTAACATCTAGGTTTACGAATCACGCAGATTACTCTGGTTTTACCCATTGTAAAAGTGATTAATTCCAGATTTCTTCTGGGAAAAAATGCCCAGTAGTTATTTACTTTTCCTTCATCACTGGTCTTTGTAATCAGCACTTAGGATGGATACAAGTAAGAAAGAAATTATTTTCTTGCCACCTGGTTATTATTGTGCTGAATGTCCATCTGCATGGACAGTCATTGAGCAGAGTAACAGAAACCTATTTCCAAACCATACCATGCTGATAGACCGTCAGGCCTACTGAACAGCTAATAACCTGTTTCAAATGCTGTAGTTTCCATTTTTTGAAATTCATTTTAAGAAGGATTAAGTTTGGATGTGTTTTTGCGTCAGATGCACTTTCAGTAGTAGTTCACAGTGGGCACAGATGTAAAAAGTGCAGGGTGGGGAAAATGATTGAGATATTATCTGATACGGTAATGTACAGAATCTTCCTGAATTACATATTGGCTTAGACTGTACTATCACCTATATTAAAAAATAAAAATATAAAAATCATCTTATTTCTAGAAATTGCAAGTAAAATGACATTTTTAATTTAAATGTTAAAAATCAAGATAACATCTTGTTCCTAGTCTGATGCTATCTGGCTTTTTTTTTTTTAATATAGAACAGTCTTCATGGAACTTGCTTTTTATGTTGGTGGGTGATGATGAAGTGGGATTTCCAACGGAGTATTTTCACTGTTGTCTTGTTCAGTAATTTAGGTATGCTCTAATCGTAGTGTCAGTGTGCACATATTGTCTTACAGCAGCTTGCTGACTGAGTTCTCAGTGAGATTATCCATTATCCAGTTTGGAATATCTGATATATACTTGGGATACCTGCTCTCTGATTCTCAGTTACATCCCAAGGAGAGAATCACACTCTTGGAAAATGAGTTGTGGACTGACTTGTCACGCAGAGGAGAATGCCTGCTTATGTTTGGCAATCTTATTCTTTAAACTTCCCCTGAGGCTAATAGAAATCTAATGGAAAAAATGGATCAAGGCAAAGATCCCCATTCTATGTTTGCAGAGGATGGGCAGGTGAAGGGCAACTGTTCTCATACCTGAATTACCTTTTCCTTTTTTTTTATTTTTTATTTTTTTTTGTCCTTTCTTTAAAGTGAGGCTCTGATTCCAGTCTCCAGCATCCTCTAAATCAGCATTCAGATGATCGAGAAATTGTCTGTTCTGGCACATGTACTTTAGAGTTTCTTCTGTTGATAGCTTTATGAGCACAAAATAATTAAGCAGTGAAATGTGTGGTAGAGAAGCTACAAACCAGACAAGTGGACATCTGCTTCTGCAACTCTGAATAGCCTGGAGCTTACAACGTTGTTAGTGGTTGAGATCCATCTTTGAGTTAAAGGTTGTAAAGACTTGAAAACAAAACTCCTGGGCAGATACTTAATTTTCTGGGCTGTTAAATTCAAGGCAGCCCTGACAAGGCTTCTGTCCTGCCCCCATTCCCAGCTGTTCCGCATTTTTAGGGACCATACACCTGATGGTCTTCTTCCCTCCCCTACCTAATGCTGGGATTCACCAAGCCAGAGGTGAGAGCCTGGGAACCTGTGGCCAAGCAGGTTCAGGATGTAAGGAGGAGTTCCTCAAGTTTTTCAAGAGGGTATCTGAGAGACTTTTTTTGTCTTCGTATTAGAGAACTATTTGACTCTGGGCCCCTCAGCAATCCTAAAGTACCTTTACACTCCGGTTTACCTGTAGGTACAGCGGTTGTGAGGGGTATCTCTGAGCAGAGCTTTGTGCAGGTACTACCGGTGCCAAGTCATGGCCCCAGAGTTATAAATAACAAAGTTTCTATGACTGATAATTAGACTATCAAAACCACTTGCTATGGAAGTAGAGGAACTCCATGGAGTGGAAAGGTCTACGGTAAAGAGGAAAAAAAATAGAAGCTTTTACCTGTACAAATATTTTGTACAGCTGCCTTGCAAAACAATTTGAAATGGTAGAGTTAAAATTTTTATGGCATTGTGGCACGGCCACAGCAGGGGGTAGCTGTAACCTTAGCACAGGGAGCCCAGATAAGTCCAGTGTTTCCTGAAGGAAATAAAAGCTAGAGCTTTAGCAAATAAGCGATCTGCTTAAATATTTGGCGTACAAAATTTCGTCTTCAGGTAAAGAGAAACTGTAGGGACGTTGTATAGTGGAAAAGTTATTTTTGAGAAGAAACTTTTTTTTTTAAAAGCTTTTGCTGTAAGATGTTTATAAATACAACTGCAATCCGATGTTGCTGTTTATGCAGTTTCTGTGTGTGTGTTTTTCCCACAGGGTCCTTAACTGACCTATAGTAAGGAGAAATTCAAAGCAAAAGTTAACCTGACTGCTACTGCTTCTGTATTCCTGCATTTCTCTGTCTTCAGGTATCGGACATTTAATAGCAGTAACTATCGTTACTGCAACTTCATTGTAGCTTCTCCTTACACAGTGTTAGTCACTTCATCACTTTTACTGATTCATCTAAGAACTAATCTGAAAAACTGCAGTGGGGAATAGGCTTTATAACCTACCTGGGGTGTCCACGGGTTCCTCCTGCTTTGCTCTCCAGAATACTGAGGGCAATACCACTGGACTCACAAACAGGAGATGGGCATCTAAGAGTATGCACAGTGTGTCTGAAAATTGCTGCTAAGTGAGTCTTGGTGAACCCCAAAATCTAGTGAGCCCAGCCAAGACGTGGAGAGGAAGTGGTCTGGACCTGAAGAAACAGTCATACTTCATGTTAAACTGGTGCCCACAATGCCAGCAGAGAGGGCAGGGAAATAAGCAAAAAAAGTCAGAGGACCAAAGAAGGTTTATCTAAGTTTATTTTGCAGTTTGTCTCAAAGAAGAAGGTATCCAATTACAGGAATGTTAGAAAAAGGCAGGAAGTGAAAAACACTAGCAATCATCTTAATTAGCTTGCCACACCTTTACTTGATTAATATCCAGGTGCACTTAAGGGATTCCAAGCTAACTTTTTTCTTTTTTTCCTAAATAGGAGGAGATTGGGTTTTTCCTAACCCAGCAAAGATGTCCTCCTGTGCTCACTGTTGAACACAACAAAAGGCGTCTGTAGCTCGGTGGTGCAGGGCATTCAGGGGAAGGAGCAGGACTCAGGCTGGGCAGTTTTGCCTGGTCCTGCATGCAGTTCTACAGCCTGGGCTCTGCTCCGATACCTGCAACTGCTGTGACACAACATGAGATGGAATAGACTTGGAAGTGCTGGGAACTGAACCTTTTTTATCTAGAGGGACTTTTTTTCAGAGCACTGGAACAGGCTGCCCAGGGAGGTTGTGGAGTCTCCTTCTCTGGAGACATTGAAAACCCGCCTGGATGTGTTCCTGTGTGACCTACTGTAGGTGATCCTGCTCTGGCAGGGGGGTTGGACTAGATGATCTTTTGAGGGCCCTTCCAACCCCTAACATTGTGTGATTTTTTTGTATGTCACTCTCTTGGTGAGTGAATGGCTTTGTGTGGTCTGCCTTGCTGTGCAGATCACGATAAATAGAGAATGGGTTGCATTCATGCTTGCTGGCTCAGACACCTGGGGTGGCAACAGAGTTATATTGGGTTAGATGCCCCTCTTCAGGGGAGAGTGCATCGTAGTGGGAGAGGAGAAGGCCTTGGGAGCTAGAGACCAGAGCCTGAAAAGCTGCTGTGGGTAGGTGTAAAAGATGCTTCCATGAAGGAGCAGGGGTGGTCGTGGTAGGAGATCAGCACTGGATGGCAGCAACCAGGCACCCATCTGCGCTGTACTGTGAGCTGGAAGAGTTGCTGGATTGCGAATGCTGTTTGCCAACACTAATCCCAGTGGGAAGACAAGCTCCTACATTGCCATGTATGGAGTAAAAGCACCAGGTACTTCATCATGCTACCCAGTAAGGGATGCTTCAGCTTGGGAAGACGTGGAGAAGCACAGAATTGTTGTCTAGATAGGCTGTGAAACACCGAGAGGTAGAAAACACATGCAAGGGAAATGATTAAGTGTCATAGGAACTGGTAACTCATTTGAGAAGCCAGAGACTTAGAAGAGGAAGAT